GTACCCTGCCAGGCATGGAGACTTCAATGCGATTTCAGTACTAATCCAACATTACTGTATAAACTAACAGTCCCCTGCCAGGCATGGTGACTTCAATGAAAAGCAAGCCTCTCATGTTTTGAAATAAAGCCTTCGTTTCTGACGTCATCATCCCTAATGTGGCGCGAGGCGTCAACGGGCTAAATGCGGATCCCAGGAGGTTCACACATAAGTGTGAACTCTTAATCAGGCTTAATACCTCACCTATACTCTGTGCTTCATCAGAGTTGATATTCAGCTACAATAGCTCGTATTTTCGCTCATTACTTATATTTTCTGTTATTCATAAACCCGATCAAACCTTCCTAACCTAACCTAACCTAACATATTATTTATAACAAACAAATACATTCTACAGAACAGTTATTGTTGTTGTTTAGTGACATCGTGAAAAGCGACCTCAGGTATAGGGACAATGTATTGATGGTCATTAGCATATAGGTGTGAAGGTATTACTTCACCTTACTGGTCAACTATGTATGACGTCACCAGACAACCAATGCGCCCTTTGGCGTCCTACTAATCAGAGGTTTAAGAACATACATTTTAGTCATCCACAACTGTAATCATTATTCAGTGATAAGTTCAAAACTCAAATAGTCACCCAAATGTCGTACTGCAATTTATGAAGAATTGTATGTTTTACCACACAGTAGGTAAGTTATCGTGAAAAGCGACCTCAGGTATAGGGATAGGGTATTGATGGTCATTAGCATATAGGTGTGTATTACAGTACCTTACTGGTCAACTATGTATGACGTATGCATGTGTATTTGATGTTATTATTCAAAAATGACTAGACTATCCATCCCCACCTAACCTAATCAGAGGTTTAAGAACATACATTTTAGTCATCCACAACTGTAATCATTATTCAGTGATAAGTTCAAAACTCAAATAGTCACCCAAATGTCATACTGCAATTTATGAAGAATTGTATGTTTTACCACAGAGTAGGTAAGTTATCCTAATATCCATCCTCATCCGGGCTGGAAAATAAAAAAATTTCTTACATTTTTATTATTTATCCATAGAAAAACATAGTTTGCATTCTAGTGATATGACAAAATATGCATTTTACCTTAGAAAGAGCAATAAACCAGATGCTGATTGCAACAATTGCCCAAGTGTAGCTGCAGCTGTTTCATTGCAGGGGGAGAGCAACATTTCAGTTCCTCAGGCATTTTCATAAACGAGGTAATTCCTCACAGTATCGGCAATTATTCAGTGCTGTATATAATTTATGCGCTTCATACTACACAAAACTGTTTTCACGTACATCTGGCAAGTTAGTGCAGTGAAAAACAAAAATGCTTTTAGAGATGTATATCCTAACCTATCCTATCCTAACCTAACCTATCCTAACCTATCCTAACCTATCCTAACCTAACCTAACCTATCCTAACCTATCCTAACCTAACCTAGTCTAGCTGACTAGTGCAAACACATTCTATCCTCCAATCCAAACCTAACCTATCCTAACCTAACCTAACCTAACCTATCCTAACCTAACCTAACCTATCCTAACCTAACCTATCTATCTAACTATCCTCCAAATCAAACCTAATCTATCCTAACCAAACCTAACCTATCCTAACCCAACCTAACCTATCCTAACCTATCCTAACCTAACCTATCCTATCCTATCCTAACCTAACCTAGTCTAGCTGACTAGTGCTATCACATTCTATCCTCCAATCGAAACTTAACCTATCCTACACCATCCAGCACTGCCATATCCCATCCTACAATCCAAACTATACCTATCCTATCCTAACCTAACTTAACTGTCTGGCATTACCACATCCTATCCTCCAATCAGAACCTATCCTATCCTCCAATCGAAACTGAACCTAACTTAACCCAAACTGGCCCAAGACCAGCTAGTTCTTATATATCTAGTCCTATCCTCCAATCAGAACCTATCCTATCCTCCAATCGAAACTGAACCTAACTTAACCCAAACTGGCCCAAGACCAGCTAGTTCTTATATATCTAGTCCTAACCTACAATCCTGGCGTATTCTTTAACCACACCTATCCTATCCTATGTCATTCCTACCCTATCACAGGCATGCTTGTCCTTCTTTTAATTATATCAAGGATTGTATATTGCGCATTTTATCATTTAAAAAAAAAAAAAAAAATTACAGTTGCTCAGGTAAAAAAAAACACATATAGATCATTTTATATTATTTTATTGTAATAATATTTCACATCTTACATAACTTTACATATTTGGAATACGCGCATAAAAGGGGAATATGCAATTTATTTATTTCATTTTTGTTTTCTGCATGATGGCCATAGAGCTTTGATTGCACGATAGGATTGCTTATTTAAATCTCATCTCAGGGGCGTTTATATAGATTATGGGTTCTCTAATTTTCTTCTTTTTCTTCTTCCCCTAGCTGGTAGATCGGCCACATCTCGTTCTGGTAGACGTTGTTCCCTTGTGCGCACCAAGACAAAGACCTTTTTCTGTTTTCTCAATACATATACTAAATGTGCTAATGCAGGATAGTATGCATTTATCCACTCTTCTTCTTGTTCTTTACTCCATCCTATGCCACAATCGATACCTGCCCCATATGGCATTATTACTCGTTTAATCGCATTATTACGTTTCGTCAAGCTTATAAGTCTATGAATGGCTAATTTAAATGCCCATCTTCTGCCGATGATAGTATCCTTCTTGAATCCCGACACTAAATCTTCATCCTTACTGTGATTCATGAGCAATTGCTTTGTATTGTTATTATTATTATTATTATTATCATTACTCGCATCGTCAATAGGTAAACCTGCAGCATATTGACAAATAAGTGCTATAAGATGAGGTTGTACTTCTGGATCAGGGGATAAAGCAACTATTATATCCCCTGGTTTATTACGATCTTTAAGAACCGCACAATGTGTTTCAGGACATATTTCCTTCTGCAAACTGCAAAAAGTGTATTTTTTCTCGAGCAGATGGGAAAATCCTCCAGAAAACTGGTGTGTTGCTGTCAAGTCATAGATAAGGCAGTCTCCCGGCTTAAAATTATAATCGTTAATAAAGTCAGCTTCTATTAGGGCAGCCTTGAGCTGGCGATATTTGGCAATAGTGTACCCGGACAGCATCTTGACCCGACTGTCTAAAATCATTTACTCTCCAAACTATTGTACTCTTTTTAAGCCCCTCCCACATTCAACAGGATGGGAAATGCAATAGGTTTAGATAAAATCCTATGTAACTCTCTTGTAAGTATCGCCCACATTCATCAGACAAAAAAATACAATTGGTGAAGATAAAATACAGTTATACATTTTTAGTGTTTATTATTACACACACACACACTCATAAAAAATATGCATATATTCGAATATACAGAGTCTTTAAAATAAACTAGAGGGTATTAACATTGGCTAAAATAAACGCCTAGATACCTTATTTTCTTTTTCTAAATTTTGGGGATAGTCGTCAGCTAATATCCTTTTAAAATTCGGATCGTCCTCCCATCGCTGTGCATATTGGGAAGGAGAATTGCTACTACTACTGCTGCTGCTGACACAAGTTCGTATAAACGATATATCCCTCAAATCCCTATTCTTAGAATTCGCTTGTTCTACATCATGACTCACTTCACCAAGGTTCATAAAAATATCATCATCGCTGTCTGATATTGTTTCCACTACTATACACTTAGATGTGGAAGGGCCCTGTAACTTCGAAGTGACCTTGGAGGGAGAAGCATTAGTTTTCATAGGACGTGCTCCATTACTTTTCACATAGGGGGTTGACCTTCTTAATTTTCTCCTTTCGACCCTGCTCCTCCTACTAGGGGTTATCGTAGGCGTATCCCACACGCGCCAAGGACCCCCAACTGCACTAGCAGCCGCAGCAGCCCCAGATAACTCTGCATTTTCAAGCAGGTACATGTCAGGAGTTTTCTTTATGGACGACGCTAAGATACTTGGGGATAAGGGCGTTGAATCCAACTCTTCAGTCACTGGAGTGGATGTTTTACGTTCGCACAAGGCCGGCTCATCAGAAAACAGGGGGTTCAGAGTCAGGTCTGGTACAGTCTCATCCTTTGATTGCTGTCGTCGTCGTCGTTGTTGTTGTTGTTGTTGTTGTTGTTGGACAGGGCTACATGCTCTCGCAGCCAGTGACGAAGTCAGGTTTAAGGAGGAATATGTCCTCTCAAACAGTAAAGACTCCGAGGGCGTGTTTAGGGGATTTAAGTCTGTCTGTGTAGATTTCGTAGCATAGATTGGGTGAGAGGCACCCTCCTTAGCAGTAATAGTACTAGTAGTAGTAGTAGCAACAGCCGCATCAACAGATGGCAAGTTTGAAGTTGAAGGCGAGCTTAAGTTCTGGGCAGCAGCTGGAGTAGTAGCAGAAAGAGGGAGTTTAGAAGACCCCGAAAGGAAAGCCGTTATAGTTTCTGGGGTCAGGTTCGCTGCTGATATAATGGCCGGACCCATGATGACATATATATTCCCAGCAGATGTGATATATATATATATATATATATATATATATATATATATATATATATATATATATATATATATATATATATATATATATATATAATGTTAAAGTAATCAAAACTAAAAAAAAAAATATCAATATATATGTATATATTACATTAGTCACTATGCTCACCATTGAAATTCTCCATTTCTTCAGCCGCAAGCAGTAGAATGCCGAGATGAGTAGCGAGTGTAGTCGAATGTTTGCATTTGTCCCCCTCACGCGAGGGTATTTATACCCAACCAAGTATTAACCCCGCCCATTACATGACGTCAAACCTAATAAGCCGCGTGACGTCACCATGGAAGTTTTGTTTATGCCGATAGGTTGAAAAGTCGCATTTCAGTAGGATTAAGGGATAAATAAAAATATAAATGTTCATGCACATATGTTTTTAATATTCAATAGATATTAACAATTTCAAGAAATAATTGGTCTGATTACATATAGAATATTTTGTCTGCAAATGGGACATTTTTGCAGAGATAATAGGCACAAAGTACATGCTACCATATGATTACAAGGTAGCAACACAACATCAATCTTATTTACCATGCAAATTTTACATATCATATCTTCTACATGAGAAAACGCCGTTGTTGCGGCCCCCATTTCAGCTGTAACATCCGTTCTAGGCATTATCTGATGCTCCAGATATGCAGGTATACTAATATTTTCAAGTATTCCCATATCTTCAACAGTATTTGCGGGATTGGCTGTAGTTGCCCCATCCTTCAAATTTTCCCTTGTTTTTTCTTCAATATGTCGTATAGCCAGTTCTAGACAGGTGGATTCGGAAATGAGTGGCAACAAATCCTTGGTGACATTGAGATGTTCTCGAAGAATAGCTCTTGCACAGCCCGAGGGTATACCCTGGAAACGTATCAGTTTTTGGAATGTAGGTATACCCTCTAACAATCTACTTATTAAACTTTCATCAATGGTCTTCTTAGGATGCTGTGGAGGTTCCTTAACGTCCTTAATAAAATCACGTCCTTTCTTTATGTTGACAAAGGTGCAATCAGGATAACTCCGGGCGTGCAATATCCAGGGTATGTCTGTCTCCTCGAAATTATTAATCCCATTTCCACAGAAGAAGCAAAGGACATGATCGCTGATGCCTGAAAAAAAATATGAAATACGGCATAAAGTAGGGTGTTCACAAAAACTAAAGTATATTCCCCTGTATATCTACAATTCTAAAATCCCATTTTTAGCTGAATAAATTGCAGAGCTTATTATTATTTAAAATATTTCACATACCGAGGGAAAAGAAACCTGCTTCCGCTAGTTGACTGGATGTTTGTTTCACACACCCAGGCCAGGTTAGGTCAAAGGTTTCCAATCTGCTCTTGTATGAAGAAAAACGAGGATAGGTAGGGGCTCTATATTTAATCACCCCCATCATCTGTAAATTACACTCATCCTTCGACAGAGCTGCTAAACAAAAAATAAAAGCATATATTATTATTGACGGGATATCCAACAGTCTAATATGTTAGATGAGAAAATATTACACATGTAAACCTTTTTTTTTTTTTTTTGCTAGTAATATTACATGTATTAAAAAAGCAATTACCTTTAGCTTCGCGTAAATTGGGCGAGAAAAAGAATATTCCATATTGAAACGCAATTTCGCTAATTTCTAAGGGAACGTTTTCCCACTTGGTACCAATAATGAAAGGACAGAATGGCGACGCACTCTGGTGTCTGCTGCGAGGAGTGTCCCCCTCAACCCATGCTCCTATCACATAATTACAAAAGGCACAACAACAGTAATCACTCGCTCTCAGATAATAGAACCCATCCCGCACTAGAGCCAAGGGAGCCAGCCACGTGACAGTCCAGTTAATAAAAGTATCTAATCGAATTCGCTCGCATTTTAGGCTATCCTTGCTGTAGAACTTCTTAGCACGTGCTTGTTCCATTGTGTATATTCTACCTCCCAGGCTGTATTGAGGATATATTTATATACCCCTTCTCTCTCGGGTGCTGAATATCGCCATATATGCATCTTTTAAATGTATTTGACCAGACCGTCCCTAACCTGACCTAAGGTGTTAATTCTTTTTTAATACATATAGACTAAAACGGCTCTAGATGCACATGTAAAATAGCAACTCGGCGAGCTTAAGAATTTTTTGGCATTTAACAAACTTATTATTTTATGTAGACACCAATTGCACTAGACTTTTCTTGCATATCTCCCTTGCATTTCAACAAAACCCATATAGCATACAGTAGCGCATAGAGGAGGATAAGTCATGTTAGGACGTGATCTTATGCGGTGTGAGTGACCTGCGAGTGGGCGGGGCGGGCAAAGGTAATTAAGGGGTAGTGGGGTCAGGCTGGAGGGATTATATTGGGGTGCTACATCGTAAGAGACCTGAACAGAGTTGCCTGTAATATGTAATAACAAATATGTTTTTATATTTATTGTAGGTTCCTCTTATGAAATAAGTAGCATATTTGCAAAGGTAAAACCCCTAAGCACTACAGAGCGTGAATTTTAAAGTAATAATACTGGCTGGTTTTTGAGAAAAAAAATAGGTAATACTTTCTTTGAGATAACTGTATTCGCACTTAGGGATAGATATAAGCTCATACGACACAGGATTTGGGGATTATTAGCTAGCCTGCCAGTGTTACTTGTCCATCCGTTCGCCGCAGCTGCTGAAAACATGAATTCACAAGTTGTAACTCGTGAGGGATATTTGACTGACGATGTGTATTGCAATAAGGAATCCTGTCTTGTGTATGGGGTGAACTGCATATCCTGCGACTCCTACGGTATATCTAAGGACTTAGCAGAAAAATATACATACGCCAGTGTGTACGAATCTCGTGAACGTTTATATGATCTTAAGAGATGCGTACCTAAAGATAGACCTAAACCAGGAACAATTAACATCTCTAATTCTCGTGGACAAAATCTACCTTATATCATAGCCGCCGCCACCCAATATGGAATAGGAGAACATTTAGAGAAGAATGAAATTGCTCAGGATATTTGCAAAAAATCTAAAGATAGAGCAATGGTAGCCGGTTTAAGAAAAGATACTTCAGATAATCGTTTGTCGTACTTTAAAGAGGCGATGAGTGCCGTGATAGATTTCATCCAGAAAAACCCTGAAATTTCGCGAGTAGTACTGCCCCGAGGTATTGGGCGCACATGTGCTCGGAGAGATGAAGTATGGGAAATATCCTATCTTCCAGTCATTGAAGAAATGCATAGGAAATTAAAACCCTTTAGTATTGATGTTATATTATTGAGTAATGAAGACAATAAGAAAAAAACTACTGCTCGGTAACCTACCTGATGCGCAGTAAGACTGGGGCGCACACTCCTCTAGAGGTATAAATGGATGGCGTTTTACCGATGTGTGGACATTAACCCCTGCTTGCAGCAGCTATGGATATTCCTACCCGCATTGGCGACTTTGCTTCTTTAGCTATTTATAATAACAAGGACTGTTTGCTGTACGATTTAGATGCCACAAGTGTGCAGATGAACCCCCAGGTACAAACATTATGGGAGCGATTCCCGTATGGTAGATTACATAGACAGAATATGCCGTACAAAAATCGTGCTGTGGTGGAAGATCGCGGTGTACCTGGAAGTATACACATCGGATGGGCTCCTGAATTCAACAACAGGATGGATGATGAACCGTATGAGAGTTATACAGTGCTTCCCCACCTTATTGGATTAATAACCCAATTTGGAGGTGGACCATCGACTTCCGCATCTTATGAAAGGCCCCCGTATGATGTTCGAAGATTGGATGAGCATTTTTATGCTGGAGTGGAAAACGATACAGAATATCAGAGATGGCGCTGGTTCGAGAAAGCTCTGAAGACAACACTTCGTCATATTTACGAAAGGAATACACGACCAGCCCGTATTATTATTCCATATGGGTTTGGGTTATCGAATTATATATCACATTACGAACGTGGCTTATGGAACTCGAAATATTTACCAGTGTTACGCAATATGGTAAAAACTCTACATAAACGCGGAATTGCCTTCTTGATGATCAAGCCATACACGTGGGAAGAAGATGCAGCTCTTCCCCCTACCCACGGTATCTTTGGGAATCAGTTTAAACATGCCGGAATGCCGAATGCAGTTATCCACAAAGATTCTACAGTCAATGCTGATATGCCTGAAGATGCCCACCAGCAATGTTGAAGCTGGCGATAGAGTTAATGACGATGTTGGATTTGCTAAAGATGTAACTTACGTAGGAGAAGATGTGTGAATAGAATATTTGTATATATGGATGTATTAATATATATGTATATAATATATATATATATATATATATGCGTGTATTAATAAAAAACTAAAACGCATAACTGCATTTATCTAAACCTGTGACAGATCTACCAGCTGAGAGAAGAAGAAAATTAGAGAACCCATAATCTATATAAACGCCCCTGAGATGAGATTTAAATAAGCAATCCTATCGTGCAATCAAAGCTCTATGGCCATCATGCAGAAAACAAAAATGAAATAAATAAATTGCATATTCCCCTTTTATGCGCGTATTCCAAATATGTAAAGTTATGTAAGATGTGAAATATTATTACAATAAAATAATATAAAATGATCTATATGTGTTTTTTTACCTGAGCAACTGTAATTTTTTTTTTTTTTTTTAAATGATAAAATGCGCAATATACAATCCTTGATATAATTAAAAGAAGGACAAGCATGCCTGTGATAGGGTAGGATTGGCATAGGATAGGATAGGTGTGGTTATAGAATACGCCAGGATTGTAGGTTAGGACTAGATATATAAGAACTAGCTGGTCTTGGGCCAGTTAGGTGCAGTTTTGATTGGAGGATAGGATAGGTTCGGATTGGAGGATAGGACTAGATATATAAGAACTAGCTGGTCTTGGGCCAGTTTAGGTTAAGTTAGGTTCAGTTTCGATTGGAGGATAGGATAGGTTCTGATTGGAGGATAGGATGTGGTAATGCCAGACAGTTAAGTTAGGTTAGGATAGGATAGGTATAGTTTGGATTGTAGGATGGGATATGGCAGTGCTGGATGGTGTAGGATAGGTTAAGTTTCGATTGGAGGATAGAATGTGATAGCACTAGTCAGCTAGACTAGGTTAGGTTAGGATAGGATAGGATAGGTTAGGTTAGGATAGGTTAGGATAGGTTAGGTTGGGTTAGGATAGGTTAGGTTTGGTTTGGAGGATAGAATGTGATAGCACAAGTTAGATAGACTAGGTTAGGTTAGGATAGGTTAGGTTAGGTTAGGATAGGTTAGGTTAGGTTAGGATAGGTTAGGTTTGGATTGGAGGATAGAATGTGATAGCACTAGTCAGCTAGACTAGGTTAGGTTAGGATAGGTTAGGATAGGTTAGGTTAGGTTAGGATAGGTTAGGATAGGTTAGGATAGGTTAGGTTAGGATAGGATAGGTTAGGATATACATCTCTAAATGCATTTTTGTTTTTCACTGCACTAACTTACCAGATGTAGGTGAAAACAGTTTTGTGTAGTATGAAGTGCATAAATTATATACAGCACTGAATAATTGCCGATACTGTGAGGAATTACCTTGTTTATGAAAATGCCTGAGGAACTGAAATGTTGCTCTCCCCCTGCAATGAAACAGCTGCAGCTACACTTGGGCAATTGTTGCAATCAGCATCTGGTTTATTGCTCTTTCTAAGGTAAAATGCATATTTTGTCATATCACTAGAATGCAAACTATGTTTTTCTATGGATAAATAATAAAAATGTAAGAAATTTTTTTATTTTCCAGCCCGGATGAGGATGGATATTAGGATAACTTACCTACTCTGTGGTAAAACATACAATTCTTCATAAATTGCAGTATGACATTTGGGTGACTATTTGAGTTTTGAACTTATCACTGAATAATGATTACAGTTGTGGATGACTAAAATGTATGTTCTTAAACCTCTGATTAGGTTAGGTGGGGATGGATAGTCTAGTCATTTTTGAATAATAACATCAAATACACATGCAAGTAGGACGCCAAAGGGCGCATTGGTTGTCTGGTGACGTCATACATAGTTGACCAGTAAGGTACTGTAATACCTTCACACCTATATGCTAATGACACACCTACAATACATTGCAGTCCCTATACCTGAGGTCGCTTTTCACGATGTCACTAAACAACAACAATAACTGTCATCTGTAGAATGTATTTGTTTGTTATACACGATGTCATAAACAACAACAATAACTGTTCTGTAGAATGTATTTGTTTGTTATATATAATATGTTAGGTTAGGTTAGGTTAGGAAGGTTTGATCGGGTTTATGAATAACAGAAAATATAAGTAATGAGCGAAAATACGAGCTATTGTAGCTGAATATCAACTCTGATGAAGCACAGAGTATAGGTGAGGTATTAAGCTAGATTAAGAGTTCACACTTATGTGTGAACCTCCTGGGATCCGCATTTAGCCCGTTGACGCCTCGCGCCACATTAGGGATGATGACGTCACAAAAGGCGGTAACTGCAGAAGGCTTTATTTCAAAATATGAGAGGCTTGCTTTTACTGAATGACCATTTTTGGCAGGGGACTGTTAGTTTATTAAATGCTACAGTATGGTGTGGGAGGTATGTTTGGGGGTACTGTTAGTTTATACATAAGGATAGGGTCACTACCGAACTCGCATTGAAATCACCAATGCCCAGGGCTCTGTTTTTTCATATAAACGACTGATAGCAGTTTTCATTTTTATTTTGCCCTATGCTCAATAAGCAATTTCTGAAGAAAGATTGACAAAGCTTAAATTACATTCTCTAGAAAGGCAAAGAAATAGAGGTGACATGATAGAGCTGTGAATGGACAGTAAAGGGGAATATTAATGACCTATTATACGTATCAACATGAAACAGAACAGGAATGAATTGGATAAGTTTTATAT